AAAAGGTGGACTAGACAACGAGGATGTTTATAGGCCTCAAGAACAGAAAAATTGTGATTCAGGTTCTTAAATTGATACCTCATTCTTAATTTTCCGATTCATTCCTCAGCCTTTTGCTAATTAACTTTTAGAATTGAGTGATGAAGACGAAGTGGAAGAGGGGGGAGAAATTCTAACATCTCGAAAAAGTCTCAATAAGAAATCATTGAGTAAAACACCTGAAAATAAACTCAAGGCTTGTAATTTTATTTTCGGCTGTCTTGTGAAGACTGGACGCCCTTAATATTTTAATACATATTCTTTGTAGGCTTTTGTTTCCGGCTCTGCCCTGAAGGGAGGTCCTACCTTGAACTCTCCGCCTCAAATCCTTACAGCCACTGAGAAAAAGAAGGTAAGAATTTACAATTGCCACTCTTTTCGGTTCCAAGTCTTTTTCACTCGTAAAATGCAAAATTTGGTTTCAGCAAAGAGCCGCTGAATTCAAGGCCAAGAATGAAGAACGCTACAGCTGGCTTCTTGAAGTTAAAGATGCTAATGGAAATCTAGAAGGTAAGGCCTTGAACATGTTTGGGATCTTAAAGAGTTCTTTTTGACCCTTTACAACTTTATATCTCGTCGCAGGAACTCTTAATTATGATCCTCGAACTCTTTATATTCCCCCATCCGCTTGGAAGAAATTTACTCCTTTTGAAAAACAATTCTGGGATATCAAATCTCTACACTGGGATACCGTATATATTATTTTATGAATCATTTATAATTGCATCGCGTTGCAATGTATCAAATTAACTCAAAATAATCTGTTTCCAAATAGGTTGTGTTTTTCAAAAAAGGAAAATTCTATGGTATTTTGTTTGGCATAGCAAATTTTGAATTTATTACCTACCAACTGACTTTGAAATTTATCACTTCACAGAATTGTACGAACGTGATGCCGACATCGGCCATACCGAGTTCGATCTCAAACTTACCGATCGCACCAATATGCGGATGGTTGGTGTACCGGAATCTTCATTTGAACACTGGGCATCACAGTTCATTGCCAAAGGGTAAAACCTCTTATTCGAGATCCTGAAACCATTTTAAACATTAGCTTCAATTTGGTTGATTTGAAGTTCTTTTAATTTATTTGATTGATAGCTACAAAGTTGGTAAAGTTGATCAAATGGAAACAGCTCTTGGGAAAGAGATGCGCGAAAAAGCTAGTAACAAAAAGGCACGTAATTTAAATTGCTCAATTATAGGACAAATAAATTTATACAAAAATGAAACTTCACCCCCATATTCTTCATCAAATAGGAAGAAAAAATCATTCGTCGCGAGTTAACATCCATTCTCACAGCTGGAACACTGGTCGATGGCGGTTTTCTTACAAATGATATGGGTACCTATAGTATGGCAATCAAGGTTTGTGGTTACCATCTTTCATCGTACGTTTCCGAATTAGTTGCATTATTAAGTTGATGATTTTTTCTTAAATCAATAGGAGGACTGTGGTTTCGATCATGAACCACCTTCTTTTGGCATCTGCTTTGTCGATACAGCGATTGGAGAATTTAATCTTGCCTCTTTCAAAGACGACGTCAATCGGACGCAATTTGAAACATTGATCATTCAATTAAAGCCGAGAGAAATCATATATGAAAAGGTTTATACTCTATAAATTTATTCGAAAATTGATAGAGTTTCAGATATGATTACTGATCTAGATTTGGCCTAATTTTTCCTGTTTTACATTTATTCTTTTCTCATATTATTTTAGAGAAATTTAAGCAAACGTACTCAGCGTATCCTAAAGGATTGCATTCCAAACTTAATTTTGAATCCACTAGATCCCGAAAGCCAATTTTGGAATGCTCAGACTACAATTGGCGAGCTTAATAGATGTGGATACTTTGAACCCAAATCAAAAAATAACTTAAAATTAACCGAGGAGGAAGAAAATATATCGAATAGTCAAGAAAATGATGTTGAAGGTGAGTAGGCTTTTTCTGCGTCAAAGTCTTGGGAATTTATATGGGTTGTTAAGGGATCCCCATTCGTAGAAGTTTTTCCCATGGCGATTCAAGTGGCGAAAACAAGGCCAATCATGATGTCAGCCTTGGGAGGTAAGTTTTGAAAATATTTATGTTGACATTTGAAAATAGTTTTGCCTCAACAACCTGTCCTTTAATCACATCTAGGTCTTTTATGGTATTTGCGTTCGGTAAGTAAGATTATGGTATAAGGGACTCTAGATGTTCCAACTAAATATATGAATTATTCATATAGCTTAAGCTAGATATGGAATTGGTGTCACTTGGCAATTTTCACGTTTATGATCCTATACGCCATCACACCTCATTGATACTCGATGGGCAAACCTTGGCAAATCTTGAAGTTTTTGAGAATAACATTGATGGCAGCGACGAAGGGACTCTCTTTAAATTATTAAACCGATGCATATCCCCATTTGGTAAGTGAACAAGGACTACGTTTTAAATTTCTAATTGTTATCATATCTGAGAATCTCTTCCCAAAGGCAAACGTACCTTCAAACGGTGGCTGTGTCATCCACTTCGAATGTCTGAGGCTATTAATGAACGACTTGATGCAGTTGATGAATTATCCAATGTTCCCGGATATATTGAAACATTTAATGAATCTTTCAAGGGATTTCCTGACCTAGAAAGGTTAATAAGCAGAATTCATGCTGGAACTTGTCCCGTTAAGGATTTCCTCCTTGTTCTATCTGCTTTTCAGCGATTGATGGTTTGTGATTAGTTTTTGTTTTTTTCCAACTAACGTCCACTAATTCCGAGAAATTACCTAATAAAGGACGCCTTCAAAGAACTCGGATCTTATGTGACAAAATTCGAATCTAAAAAATTGCTTAGCTTGTTTGCAAGGATGCCAGATTTATCTTCAGACCTCGAATACTTTAAAAACGCATTCGATCATAAGGTTGCAGAAACTGAAGGTTGTCTTCACATATTCAAAGCTTTAGCCTGTGTCTTTACGCCATACTATTTTTCTGCTACATCTTTGATCCATTTCCAATAGGCAACCTGATTCCCTATTCTGGCATCGAAAGTGATTATGACGAAATAAATGATACCTTGAAAAAAATTGATCAACAACTTGCCAAGCATCTGTTAGATGTTAAAAAAAGCCTAGGGTAAATTGCAAATTAAATAGATAAATCAAAATTATCCCTTCCCAATATTAATTATTTTTGGAATATTAGCGTTACTAAGGCCGTTTATAAAGACGTGGGCAAGGAAATTTATCAGATTGAAATTTCAAACGCGATCAGAGTACCGGATGATTGGAGAAAACTTTCTAGCACGAAGGTGAAGATCCCAATTGCATCTTTACAACCCTTGATAGGTTCCCTGATTTGAGTATTGTATAACATCCCATACTCATTTTGTTTAAATAGTTAGTTAATCGGTACTGGAATCCGACCTTACAAAAATTTATCAGAGAGCTCCAAGAAGCTCAAGAAACTAAAAATGGTATTCTTAAATCCTTGCGTGGCAGATTTTATGAAAAATTTGATTCCCATTATAAGCAATGGTTGGAAGCTGTCAAAGTTATTGCTGAAATGGACTGCTTGTTAAGCCTAGCCAAGAGTTCGATGACATTAGGTGGTAAGTTGGACAAGATTTTATTTCCGTTTGCTAAACTCCTTACAAAATCTTTCGGTTTTTTATAGATCCTTGTTGCCGTCCAGAATTTATCGAAGAAGGTCCTAGTGTATTGATGTTCGAAAATTTGAGACATCCTTGTGTCGTTCCTGGGTCAGTATTAACTGGCTTTGAATAATTGCGTTTTACACAGATTTTCAATCTGTCTCATTTCATTATATTTCCTCTCATTAACAGAGTTGCGACAGATTTTATTCCAAATGATACATATTTGGGAGGAAAAGAGCCAAACCTAATTCTTTTAACTGGGCCTAATATGGGTGGAAAATCAACATTGTTACGCCAAGTTAGTCGATTATTATTCAATTTCATTGATATTTCAAACCCCGTCCGTTCTTTATTAATTATTTTTTATTTTTTTAAAGAATTGCGTTGCTATTATTATGGCTCAGCTTGGTTGCTATGTGCCGGCATCACGCTGTGTGATGACTCCTTTCGACAGAATTTATACGCGTATAGGTGCGAACGACAATATTTTAGCTGGTCAAAGCACCTTTATGGTTGAGTTGGCGGAGACTTCCAAAATACTTCATGAAGCTACCCCACGTTCAATGGTAATTCTTGATGAATTAGGTCGGGGTACCTCAACCTTTGACGGATACGCCATTGCCTATGCAGTCCTACATTACCTAGCCACTCACATTGGTTGCCTTGCGCTGTTTTCAACCCATTATGGGACGCTCACCCAAGAATTTGCCAAAAATCCGAACATATCTCTTAAACATATGAGCTGTCAGGTTGATTCAGACCTCAATGAAGTAACATTTTTATATAAATTGGTCCCTGGTGTGTGTCCGAAATCTTACGGAATGAAGGTGGCTAGCATGGCTGGGGTCCCTCGAGCGGTGATTGATCGCGCCGAAGTAATTGCAACAAAATTCGAACAGCTTTCCAAGCTCAATGATTCCTTGACGGCAACTAGGTCTGATATTGCTGTAGCGACACAATCTGATTTTTCTTACTTGATTAATGCTACAATAAAAACCATTGGAACAGAGGACGGTGTTGGCGACAGGGCACTAGATAATCAGACAGAAATCGAGAAAAAAGAAAGGCAAGCTAGAGTATTGAAAGCTATTATCTGTGGGATTAGAAATTTATAAATCGAAAGCCCTTTTCATCTTTTTTTTCTTTGTATTACTCCCACCTCATCCTCTCAAGGACATTTTTATTAGTTTATATCCCTTTGTAAATATTAATCTCACTAATCTCTAGTTAATAGAATCAATTTCTAAAAGACAGATCTTTGAATCTTCTGATAAAGCAAGTGAATTACTAAAATTTCCGTATTTTAATAAGCAAAATTTTAATTGGAGATGCTGGGGTTTGATCCCAGGGCCTTTCGCATGCAAAGCGAACGTGCTACCACTGCACCACATCCCCGTTATATATAAAATATATTCCAATAAATGGTTTATAAAATATTATTTTTTATTATTTTTAACAATTAAATGAAATTACAAAATTGTTTATCAATTATTAAATTTTATTTATATTAAAATATTACATTATTAAAATATAAAATAATGTATGTTTAACTACAAGTTTTATTTTAAAAACTTTTAAAAATAACATAATTTGTTTTTAATTATATAATAACTTATGTATATCTCTAGATAGCAATTAGGCCACATTCATTAAGCCATAATAATAATAAAAATAACTTAATAATAATAAATATGTCAAATAAATTTTTTGTTATAAATAATATTTTTATTAATAACAAAAAAAATTTGTTAATTAAGATACTAAAAAAGTGTATATAAAAATTTGTAACCAAAAAATTATAATTGTAAAATTCAAAAAATCTTATTAATATTTAAACAATTATAATTAAAAAATAAAATTATATTAATTATTAAATTTTAATGATTTTGTATCAAATTTTAAACTTACACAATAATAAATAAATTTTAATTATATTTTTAATTAATTTAAAAATATTATTTATTTTAAATTTAAATTTTTAGATTTTAAAATTAGTTTTTGTTTTATAATTATATAGTTTTTATTTTAAATAAAATTTTTTATGTATTTAATAATATTTGTTTTATTTTAAAATTTTCAATTATTTAAAATTTGTAAAATTTAAAAGTTCAATAAAATTTTTTATATTAAATAAAACTAATTCAAAATTTATAATATTAAAACTAATATTTATTATATTTTAAATTATTAAAAATTTTGCTTTCTATAAAAAAACTATATATTTAAAAAAAAAATTATATTTATTATTAAATTTTAATCTTAATTTTTTAATAATTTTAAAACCAAAAAATTTTTGTTTGTTTTTTTTAAATTTACAAAACTAATTTTTTTTTTATAATTTAATAAGTAAAGTCCAAATACTACCTAATATAATACATTAAATTAAGTAATTTAAACTAGATATAAATTATATGTTTGTTATATATAATTAGTTATTTAAGCTAATCAAAACAATACAAAAAAAAAACTCTTTGTCTTCTTAATTTTATAACCACAATCAGAATAAAGTGTAAAAAACTATAACTAATATCTTTTTTTTGGTATCTTATAAAGTTTCAACCAAAAAAGTTCTTTCTGTTATAGAAACAGCTAGACAAAATGTTTTGGAAGCTTTTTTTTTAGCTAATAATAATAAAAAGCTGTTTTTAATAGTTATTATTATCAGAAATTTTTGGTCTCTTTTTTTTGCATATTGTTAATATCTGTTTGTTGTTAATTCACATTTTTTAAAAGCTAGTAAATCTTTAATAACTGAATTTATTTTCAAATTCTTTTTTATAATTTGAACTGCTGGACTTTTAAATAGGATGGCTAATTCTATATTAATTATTTTATATAGTTATATTATAGTAAATATCAACTTTTTTTTAAGAATTGCTTATTTGAAAATTCATTAATTTGTGTAGTTATTTTGTTGTAAAAGTCAACTTTTCTATAGAAATTTTATTTGTAGACTATCCTAATAATTATAATAAGAAAAAAAAATAAAAATAAAAGAAATTGAATTTTGTTAAGAAAATTATTTTTTGGTTTAAGTCTGGAATACTAATAATTTACTGAAATTGATAACTAATCAATTTCAAAACATTAATTGGGTTTTAGAGAGTTTTGAGTATAATTATTTTAAGAATTGGTTTTTAAAGTATATTTTTATTTTGAATTTATACTATAAAATAATTTTAAAGAAGTTAAAATAAAATACATTTTCTTAAAAAAAGAAGTTTTTCTTTTATACAACTTGTTATAATACTAGTTTATAAATTTAAATTTTTTTTTTATTATAATTTCGATAAACTAAAGATATATTTTAATAACTACAAGTTATTTTATTAAACTATTAAATATTTTGGTAAACTATTTATTATTTTGGTAAATTTTTATAAATTTTGGTAAATTCTTAAATATTACATAATTTAGAGTATTGTATAATTTTGATTATCTTAATTTCTATTGTACAAATCAGATTATTAATTAAATAGTAATATTTGATAATTTAATTAAGTTATAAGTAATAATTAAAATAATATTAATATATGCTAATTAATGATAAAAACTATAAAAGTAATTTTATGCTAATTTAATAGCTAAAATTCCATTGGTAATACCATTAAAACATCTTTTTTATCTTTGGCTGGTTTTTTACCAATCAAGATTTTCTTAAAAAAATACATATAAATTAGTTTTAGTGTTGTTTTTATTTCTTTCAAAAGCCCAGAAATTTTTAATAACAGACCAGCCAACAAGTTAGTTTTTTCTTTAATAGTTTTTACATTAGGTGCTGCTAATATTTCTTTTTCAAAAAAATAGTCAAAAAGACCAAAAGTTCAAAAAAATAAAAACAGTTGCTTACTTTTGTTATTATTATACTGAACTTTTTTGTGATTCCTAATGAAATCCTAAATAAAATTTCTATTGCATTATCTAATATGTTATTCAAGATGGGCCAAAATTAACTACTGACTGTATTGCCAAATTTGGTTTTCTTTGACAAATTATTATTGGGTTTAAAAGCAAAACATCTTTTATAAATATTTGTTCTTAAGAACTGAACTGACCAGATAAAAACTAAATTATTTTTTTTACTAGTTTTTAATGTTGCTATTAGTGGTATTTAAGAAATTGTTACTATTCATTAAAAGTTTATTGAATAGGTAGTCTTCATTTTAATGCTTGGTGCTATTTTTAAGATCAAATTGGCTTATATTAAAACTGTTTTTTAGTCTGTATATGGTTTTTTGAATGCAAAATCGGTATTAAAGAACAATATAAAGCTTTTTTGTATGGAATTTGCTTTTCAAATGTCTTTGAAAACCGCTTTTTTAATTGAGTTTACAAGTTCTGTTTGTTTAATCACTCTTAAAATTGCCAAGTTTTTGATAATTTTTGAGTTTGGTTCTCTTTCTGCTGCTGTTGTACTTTGTAATATGTCTTTGGATATGTTTGCTGTTAACATTAAAACAGTTCTTAATATGTTTGGTAAAGTTGTTTATGTTGTGCTAAAGTTTGTTGGTGTTTAGTAATACATAGTTTTTTACTTTAATAAATTGAGCTTTGTTGTATCTGCTTTGAATTATTAAATAATTTTAGTGAATAAAAATAATATTAGAATTTTTTTCTTAATAAATCAAAATAAGACTATTTTGTTTCATAATATGTTTAAAACCAAGTTAATCAACTTTTTTTCTTGTTATACTGTTTTTAAAATTAGTAATATAATTTCTTAAGTTAGTAATTAAACATGTTTTATTCTTTACTCTCCTAATTTTGGTTATTATTCCCAGTTTGTTCTGGTTATATTTGAATTTTAAATTAATTTGAATGCTATAATTTTTAAGACTAATACACTAAAAAAGTGTCATATCTGATGAGAAACTTCTGGTTATTAGTGTTGTTTTAGATGTTAAAAAATAGGCCATCTGGATGTAGTTTATAAAGTTTTTTGTTTTCTTTTTTTAAGGCTTCCAAAATATTCAAATTACAATTTGTGAGTAATATTTTTTATGCTAAGACATCTGTTTTTTTAAATTCTTCTGAATTTTTTTTTGGTGGTTTTTGTTTCTCTTTCTGTAATTGTTAGTAATTTTTTAATTTTCTCTTGGCTGGTATTTTTGGAATCCAATTTGGTTAAATTGTCAACTTTGGTTAATTTAATTATTAAGCCTATTAGTATGTTAGTTACTGTGTTTAAGCAGTTTGTCCAAGGTAATCTTATATTAAGCAGTGTTTTTGGTCTTAAAGTTAATAAAATTTTAGTACATATGGGTACTTTTAACAAAACTGTAAGTAAACTAAAACAAAATATAATTGTTCTAAAAGATAAATATGGTTATAAAAATATTGATATGTTTGGTTTCCATGTAAGTTTGTCTGCTATTAATAATAATATTTTTTCTAATTTCTTATTACTTTAGAAATACAAACCAGTTAATATTAAATCTAATGTCTTTAAAATAACTGGCTAATTAATGAGCTTAATTTTTAATAGTGTTATATTGTTTAAAGTTGTTCAAAAAATGTTTTTTTTGGATAAGTTTTTTTTTAAAGCATTAGTATAGTGTGTTTTTAATTGGTCTAAATAACTGGTTACATGTAGAAAAAACATGAATTGTATTTAGCTGGAACTTTTAGTTTTGGTTTTGTATATTAGATAATAATTAGATTGTATTTGTTAAATTTTAATAAAAAAATAACAATACTACATATTTTTTTTTGCATTTTACAAATAAGGTTCAATCACTATCTAATACAATACAACTATCTAGAGTTCTAAATTAGATATAAATTACATACTTGCTATATGTAACTAGCCACCCAGTTAATTAAAACTACACTATACAACAATATTTTTTATCACACCAGCAAAAAACAAATGATCTATTCTCGAACCAAAACTAATAGCATAACTTTTTTCTACTCTCAACAATCATGTTATATTTCTTAAGACTTTAGAAAAAAGATCACAAACAGCATTAAACAAAAAACTATTTTCACTTACCAAATTTTTGTAATTCATATTAGCTTAAAGTTTCAAATTTGACATCTAAATTTGCTCTCTATGACTAGTTACTAGCCCACATATAAAATCAACTATCTTGGTCATAACAAGATTGGTATTTTTAAAAACAGTTTTGGCCTCTACCAACCAATTCTTAAGCACAAATTTCTTGTACAAAACAGTGTATAAATTCACATCAAAAATACACAAAAACAATAATTAAAAAACCACAAATAAGACCAAAGTTACTTTAGTAGAAAACTTTCAAAGAAAAAAGCATTTATTTAATAGATTCTAACAAATAGACAAATCTAAGCTGCAACAAAAACTGTAATTTGAAAACTCCACTTTTTCATAATGCATACATAATATACTTGAATAACTATAATTATACAAGTGC